ATCGAGGGCGGAGCGATCCTATCTACTATTGATTGGGTGGTAGCGTGGTGGGTAGGGCACGGGTAGATTGGTGATGATGATGATGATGGTGATGATAGGACGGGGAGGTGGGGGGGGGGTAACAGTCGCGCAGGGTGGAAGAGCGGACCCGTACCGTACGGGGAGCCGGCATAAGTACCGGTGACACGTATGGTACCAGGGGCATTTCTGCAAAGGCCCCGAGGGCAGAACTGAAAAATGCAGTATTTGAAAGTGGCGCCCGAATTGCAGCATGGCGCCAGTTGTCCAAAATCCTACGGTACCAAAGGAGGGGTTTGGAAAAAGGGTGCCAGGCCGAAAACGGGATGCAGCCGAAACAGCAAAAGATAGACCAGGGATCGAGCCCTGGCGAAGTCCGTAACAGGTGGTACTTCCTGGGGATGGCCACCGAGCACACTCGTGCAGCGTTGCCTGGCGAGATGATAATTGACAGAGAGATGGAGAATCTGAGGGAGAGAAGGACAGCGGTGTGGACTGGTGGTACTTCCTGGGGATGGCCACCGAGCACACTCGTGGTGGTCAAACTCTGCAGCATTGCCTGGCGAGATGATTGTCTACGGAGAGATGGAGAGTCGGAGGGAGAGAAGTAGGTGTAGTGGGATAGTAGTATAGGGAGGTGACATCATAGTAGATCTGCTACGTTGTTGATGTATTGATAATTGGAGGTGAGAAGTCGGGCTTTCTTTGTCAAGAGACTCCAGAGTTCAGTGTGTTCTCCTTCGGTTTGCTCTTGGCCTTGTAGTTCTTTTTTCGACTTTTCTCATATACGCTAGTTGTGCTTCAAGTCTTTTGCAGTCGGAAATTTTGGGAGTTCTCATTGGTTGATTCCTTTCACCTTCTTCCACAAGTAATAAAGAAGAGAAACCTACCATCTACTACCCTGTACCTAGTCCTGTCATGTCCAAAAAAAAAAAAGAAGAGAAACCTACCACGTACTACCCTGTACCTAGTCCTGTCATGTCCAACCTTTTCCAGCTTTATCCTGTATGGGTGTGTCGGTTTTCATGACCCTTTTCGAATGAATGAAACCAGTCAGTCAGCTTACCAGGCGGCAGTGTTATGTGGCAGCAGGGTCCATAGCCTGTCCAATGAAAAGTGTAACATTGCAGAGTCTGATCCACTGTGGCAGAACAGTCTATGTATAGAATGATAGTGGTGGACGTAATATGCCATGCTCCTCTTGCACTACTTGTGGTATCTGTCATGACCCTGTATTGCTGCTGTCTTCTCAGGCTGTTGCTATTGCCACGTCGTGGCAGAGTCTGCTGCCCTCCTTTTCCCATCTTCTAAGGCTGTTCTTTATCTTCCACTATCTGTCATATCTGTCACGGTCTGGCTGGAGCAGGTTCTTAAGACTGCTGTAGAGCTGGACGCTGACTGCGAGAAGTTCCCAAAGAACTGGCTCTTTCATTATCGCTGGGATAAGCTGCCAGGCAAAATCAATGGTAAACTTGCTCCGCGCGATACACTCCCCTCCCCGTTGTCAGTTAATCTCCCGTAGAAGAGGCATATGTGCAATGAATGCAATCTATCACCTCTATCTGGCTGAAATCTGATTACTCAAGAAGCGCAAGTGCCAATGCTTGCCCGCTATGCGATTTCGGATTTCATACAAAGCTGGAATGTCTTACCACTGCAAAGTTGGAATGTGGAGCAGACTCACATGGCAGAGTTCCAACTTCCAAATCATTTGAAGCACAAACAATCTTGCGCACAAAGGACACCGCACTCAGCTGAAACTTAAGTCAAGCACATATGATATCATAATGTGTGCTCACTTTGCTGCATTGCAGAACCTCGATGATGATGTAGCAAGACACAAATAGCAATTCAAATGAATCATTCAGCATACCCCTGGCCCTTTGGCGGACCAGAAGAGCGGAGGACGGTCCATCCACCCAGCAACCAGATGCTTGTCATTTGTAGCATGAAGAACAGAAAGGCAATGCCTCTCTTGCTCTCTCTGCGTGTCCGTCTGTCCCCCTTTGGCTATCATAGCGTGCGTGTGCTATGATGGTCAGAGGGGGACGGAGGGAAACACACAGGGAGCAGTTCTTCATGCTACAAATGACAAGCATCTTGGGACCCCTTAGCCCTCTGCTTTTTCTTTTTTGCCTGGACAAGTCAGGCAGTCCTTGACTTGTGGAAGTTTTTTTTTTTCTGAGTTGAAATCTATTTCACTTGTCGATGTGCCTTTTCCAGTTCTCCTTCTCAGTTCCGCTCACTCTTGGGACCCCTTTCCTTTGCTTGTGCTTTTTATTTGATGGCTTCCGCCGGTGTGCCACTGGGCTGTATTTTGCCCATACAATTGTCATCTAGAGCCTTGACAACTTTTTTTTTTTTTTTTTTTTTATTATTATTATTATTTTTTATTATTTTTAACACCCTTGACAAGTTTCTTCTTGTTTTTTTTTTTTATAATTTAAAGCACTAGTACCTTTGTTGGTTCAGAAAATAGTGGGCCTCCGACCTTTCAGGAGGCGGAAAGGAAATGATGGCCGCCGATCAGATTTATCAACGGCAGCCGTTGTCAGGCCCGCCATCCTAAAAGTTCGGGACTAGGCTAAAACTTGTCTAAACCGGACGGCAAAGGTACTAGTGGCGTCACTAGGGGGGGGGGGGTTGTTCATCATTTCTCTTTTTCTTTTCTTTTGAAAAAGAAGGGATAGCCCCGGACGCTATCCTACCCATCTGATTCATTCAGGACTCGAACTCGTGATTTATTTGCTGACAGTCAGATGTGTGGATCATGGCATGGCTCCCTTAAAACATTGGACTTGTGTGTTTTTGTCTCAGGAGCCAAAACCTAAAATCAGGGTTTGTAGTACTTTGTACGTCACTGCACTAACAGCCAGAGGAATGATTGCTTTTCTTGCAGGGCATCCAATCTCGTATGCTACGGTTGGTCAGCGAGTGAGTACTTCAAATCAGTTGTCCTCTTGTCAATTAATAATTGAGTTCAGGTTTACACCTTTTTTTACTATTTTACTATTTTAAAGTATTTTTAGTATCCCTGTGGAGCGTTGGGCATGCCATCAATTTCTCACCAGTCAAGTGTTCTCAGTGTGTAATAGTGTACTTTTTTTTTTCTTTTTTTTTTTTGTGTGTAGTAGTGTACTCACATAGGAGTCTTCCTTTTTCTTCCTCTTCTGTTTTTATAAAGGGCCACGGGCGTGAGATATGGACATCGAACTGACTGGTAGTCTCAAAAGCCCTATTGGTGGGAACTATGTGGGTGCTGGCACTGGGACCCACAATGTGGCCCTCCACCCACGACTAGGAGGTCGTAATATTCTGAAGGGTACTTAGGATAGTGAATAGCCTCGTCAAGTTTTGTAGTAATTCAAGTGTAACTGTGATCCAGGATCATCTTGCCTGCCACTGGTAGCCTGTACCTCTGCTTGACCCTACACATCATCCATCTGCTTGTTGTTTGCTCGTGCTGCAATGTGCTGTCTGCTCCTGAGTAATGTGCGGACTCTGATTCACTGATCTATTTTTAGTTCATCCTATTGGTTTTGCCTATTGAAGTTGAAACCCAAATGCTTGACTTGGGGACTATAGTCGACTATAGTGGCGACCTGCTCTTTTTTTTTGTGTGTTCTCCCCCCCCCCCCCCCCTCCCCCTCCTCCCGGTGATCTGCTCATTAATTGCAATAATGAGAGGGATTTTCTTTGGCATGTCGAGATGCGCAACACTTGTCTACCTTTGAACTCAGCTGTGTGGTCGAAACTAAGTGCGAGGCCCGACTAGTGCTATGTTCGTGCTTGAAAAGCACGAACCTGGCCCACAAAATGGCTAGGTTCTTTCTTGTTTAGCATGAACATAGTGTCAGTAGAGCTTGTCCCTAATCCTTGCCTAACCTCCACAGTTTATTCCTCCCTGTTGTCTTCCTTCTCTTCCCTACACGATTGAAATCGCTAACGTGACAAATCTCGAATCCAGGCCGTCATCGGTCCTACCGGCCCACGGCCCAGATCTGCGGAACGATGTAACAAATCTAGGATCTGGGCTGTCAGTCTGGTAGGACCCAACGGCCTGGATCTCCACGCAGTCACTCTGATGCCCTTTGAATTGACAAATATGGCCCTGCTACAGTCCGACAATGTGCACGGTCAGAGATTGGTTCGACAGATTCATTGTAGTATACTTAGATGACATCCTAGTATTCACCAAGACATTAGAAGCACATCACGACCATCTGCAAAAAGTATTGTCGAACCTTAGGGAGAGTAAGTTCAAGGTAAACCTGAAGAAGTGGGAGTTGGCCAAACAGCAAGTGTTGTAACATGTACTTGGGGATGTCATAGATGAAGAGGGAGTGCAGTTGGAAGACACAGACATAGCAGCGATTAGAGACTGTCCAACGCCTAAGATTCTCACTGAACTGTCCTTCGGGACAGCCGTTAAAATTGGAACGATACAGAGAAAGAGAAGATTAGCATGGCCCCTGCGCTTTCAAGGATGACACGCTTAAATCGAGAAATGGTCCAAATTAAAAAAAAAAAAAAAAAAAAGATTCTCACCGAACTGCGTTCCTTTTTTGGTCTAGTGAATTTGCTCTTGCAAGTTCGTACACGATTTCATTACGAGCGCAGCACCGCTACTGTTTTTAAAGGAGACATTGTGGCAGTAGGATAAAGAATCTATGTCAGCATCCCGAACGTTGAAGAAGGCGTTGATTGAGGACCCTGTGTTGCAGATTGTCGACCCTTGCCTACTGTTCGTAGAGATAACAGCCATGAGTCAGTTCGAGACGGGGGCTGTACTACAGCAAGATGATGGAAAAGGGTACCGCGCTTTAGAACTTGTTCCCAAGCGGATACCCCCAGACAAAGTTGCTATGTCAAAATGTGAAAGAGAGCTGTATGCATTGTATTTCCTTCTTCCCCCGAATACAACGTACTGGCATTCTAGCTGTATCTAGACTGAAAGATGTGTCAAATACAGCTATAATGACCGTGCGTTGTACTCGGGGGAAGAAGGTAGTCATTTCAGACTTTGTGGCACTACCTCCTAGGTAGGCACTTTGAAGTGCGCTGAGACCACAAGACCCTGCGCGGGTTGAAGACCCAGTGCTAAGCTAGCTAGATGAGCGCAGGAGATCGATGAATTTGACTTTGAATTAACAAGAGTCGGCAAAGGGAAGTAGAATGTAGTTGCCGTTGCTGATACCTTTGTCCAGATGAGCAGACTTCTTTGGGATGTTGGCAAAGGTCGAATCGGACTGGATTCACTACATCCAAAGGTACGAAGTATGCCAGAGAAACAGGAGCATGACCCGAAGACCGGTAGCACTGCTGAAACCGTTGCATATTCCCTCTGCTGGGAAGAGTCAATCTCCATAGACCGTGGATAGGAAAGTCAAGAGCAGGAGAGGGAACAATCAGGTCATGGCTGTCGTAGATAGCTTCAGCAAACATGCAGAGTAGTTCATTCCATTGCAAGCAGAGGCAAAGTCCGACCTACTGTAGTCAGTGGCAGCAGTCGATAAACGCTAAGGGCCACAGTTGACCATGTTGTCAGGTAGACACTCAGAAACGGATCGTCAGACAGAACAGACGAACTACTGCTAGCGCAGACCCTCCATTTGTATATTAGGCCAGACCAGATTGATTGGGACGGGCACATACCTAAGGTAGCCAACACGTGTAATAACTCAGTGCATCTGTCCATGGGTATAACGCTCAATGAATAGCGTTAAGGGGTGGAGGCCATGCAGGCCTCACTGCTCAGACGGAACAGACGAACTACTGCTAGAGCAGACCCTCCATTTGTATTACTAGGCCAGACCAGATTGATTGGGACGGGCTAAGGAAGCCAACGGGTGTAATAACTCAGTGCATCTGTCCATGGGTAAAACGCTCAATGAATTGCATAAGGGGTGGAGGCCATGCAGGCCTCACTGGTCAGACAGAACAGATGAACTACTGCTAGAGCAGACCCTCCATTTGTATTACTAGGCCAGACCAGATTGATTGGGACGGGCACTTACCTAAGGTAGCCAACACGTGTAATAACTCAGTGCATCTGTCCATGGGTATAATGCTCAATGAATTGCGTTAAGGGGTGGAGGCCATGCAGGCCTCACTTGCCAAGTCCAGAGACGATCCAGCGTATGCCACCCAAACCTGAGAAAAAAAATTGTGCTGAAGTATGAGGAAGACGTTCGGAACATTGTTGAGAACAATAGGCACGCCTGGGGGGTCTCACAAACATAGGAGGCAGTCAACGTTTGCTGTTGGTGATCTGTCCTGGGTTTAAGTCAAAATAATTTGTACTAATTTTGTAGTAAGTTTGTACCTGAAGAAGGAATTTCACAGAAGTTGCTACATGCGTACAGAGGATCGTGGGAGGTGTCGGACGTAATAGGACATGCTGACGGTCCCTCGTACACGATAGATGAGCTGCTACATCTGTGAACCTAGCCAGTATTCCATGCGTCCAAGTTACGGCCTTGTGTGTCAGATAGCGCATTCCCCTGACACAGATGATGATACCCCCTGATATGGATGGGAGATATGACATAGATCATATATATTATATTCGATCAAGATTGATACGGATCAGGAAGAAGGGAGGGACTACCACAGCTGCAGTTGAGGAGCCGGGGCGTGATTGTTGGTTTACCGAGCGAGCCTAAAAGAGACAGCTCCTATAATAGCCCCTTGCTCATTCAGTTGTTGAAACGGGACTGTTGCCCCCCAGAATAGAAGGGGCTCCGTTTTCCGGAATAAAAAAGAAGAAAAAGAAGAAGAAAAGTGTCTCATTATGAGCAGGCTCAGATAAAAATCGTAGCTTCCTTGGAGGACCTCGAATTTAGGCTGGCGGGAGTGAAAGGATTTTTCACCCGTCTCAGCGCCCCCGCACCAGTCCCACAGTCCCAGCATTCCGTGTAACATAGTACCTGTCGATTCAGTAGGGTACCTAATTACAGCAGGCCCGGTAGGCTCGAGTAGGCCTGTCAGTCTAGTCAGTTGGTCACAACCCAGTTGGCAGGTGAGTCCCATTAAAGTCAAAGAAACTATTGCGAGCATCGTAGGCCAGCCGTGGCCAGCAGATGGGCCAGGTATGGGTACCGTAAAAGTCCAGGATCGCGAGATGCAGCCAAGTACGAAAGTCCAGCGGCGGCAAGGCGTCGACACAGTTTCCATTCGAGCTTGCTGGAGAAGAAGCGCTTCTGCGATCTTGTGCTACCAGCCGTCAAGTGAGGTTGAGAGGCTGCAATAGGGAGTGAGTCGACAGCCCCTAATTGCTGTAGTATAGTAGCGAAAAAGAGAGAGACAGAGAGTGAGAGGAAGAGACTCAGAGAGACGGAGTGAAGCCTGAGGGTAGTATAGGGTTGAGAGAGAGAGAAGCTATAGGCCCATAGCCATACCTGTTGAGGCTGCTTGGAAGCCATACCCACCGATATGCATGCGTACATAAGATTCTGTTGAACAGAACTTCGAATTTCAGCACAGGTTCTGAAGAAGTCTCATCTCGTGTTGATTTGCGTCTCGCGTTTGGAGCTTGGCGTCATGAAACGTGAACTCGGGGGGGTATGAGACGCCATGCGAGTTCACATGAGCTCTTTGAATATGCTTCATTGTACTGTGATTGGGGTCTAGACTCTATATTTCATTTGAAGCATTCATTGCTGATCAATAGCAGTGTAATCACTGTAATGTGCTTTGTGGTTTGCGTTTCTTCTTCTTCTTCTTCTTCACGGTGTCCTTTCACATGTGACACCATTGTGCACATCAAAAAAATTGTGTACCCTCTTCTAGACAAGTGCGATCTGAATATACTGCTTCATGCTCAACATCAATGTTACCATCTGCCTTCCTCTCGCACGTGCTTGCTTGTGGTGATGACCCACCACGCCATCACACAAAGTGCAGGCCCGCAAGTCCTCTCTGACATGTGTGACATAGATCACTCTAATAGATTGGAGCATTGTCCCCCCCCCCCCCCGGCCCCCCCCCCAAAAAA